AATCATACGGGAAATTAACAAACGACCAGAGATGTAACAGTAATAATGAAAACAAAGTCTTAGGTGGAATTTGAAATAAAAATGTTGAAATGTAATTGTAATGTTCATACTTATAGGCTGAAATTAGTCATTAAGCCAATTTACATACACTAGCTGTGCACGATGTCAGTATGAGAGTTAACAAGTCCTTCATAACTCAAGGGATGAAAGCACTGCTGAAGGCGAGGATATCCAACTGATGACCTATGGCAGAGTAGGCATAGAGGCTTTCTAAAGTTTGCCTGTCATTCATAATTAATAGTAATTATTATTAATTGTAATTGATAATGAGGATTTTTAGCAACTCTTCTGGAGAAGCTATTACATAATTATCCTGAATTGATTCAATAATATACATAATACAGTATAAGCACCATTTTAATAAAAATGGAAAAAATATATATATACTTATAACTTTTCACATATTTGCTTAAAACTTACAAGAACTTAAAGGGGAGATTCCGCAGTCGTGTTGAATCAAAAGGTTCTTCACTGTACTCCAGGTAACTATTATAGTGAACAGTCACAAAAGCTCCTTTAGAAACCACAGGACCAATTCCAGGTTTAACTTCCTGAAATAAATCAATGATAAAATTATTAATAATTACATTTTGAGCCTGGAAACCATGAGTTTGAAATATAAATATTCTTATCATACATACTTTTTTCAACACCCCTTTATCGTTTGTGACAGCAGTCATTTTATCAGAAAGACGCTGGAAAGGTGACTTGTAATTTTCCTCATCTTCGGACTCTGATGCTATATCTGTACATTCAAAATTTAAGTTATTTTTCAGCTCTTCTTCATCAAAGTAGTCATTTTCTTCACTACTTTCTTCATCCTCAATTTCTACTTCAAATTCAGCTCCTCTATCTTCTCTCAGCTCACTTAAAAAAGAAAAAAAAAAGAAAAGGGATTACGAAAACACGACCAGTTCTACAAAAATCAAACATCAAATTTGGTGTTTCAAAATTAGATTATAATTTAGTGAAACCTTATCCTCTTGTCTAAGGAGTGGATTTTCTTTAATGCATGTTTTCTTAAGCCTCTAGCGCACTCTTTGAGGTGATCATACATTCACTGTTTTTTTTACTTTCCTTTACAGTTAAGACTCGATGTTTTTAGCTCACCCACTATAATGATACTACAGGGTCACAAATATCTTTTTTAACATTCTTTGAAGAGATTAGTGCTTATGTAGATAACAATACGGGTGTAGATTTGGATTTTCAGAAAGTATTTGACAAGATGCCACACAAATGATTTGTTAAAATAATTATCTCTGTAGGTGTGTGGTGTGGGATAAGCTGGCTCACTGGACAGAAGAGGGTTGTTTTAAGTGGAATCCAATTAAACTGGATTAATATGATGAGTGGGATAACTCAGTACTAAGCATTAAGACTTTTACTCTTTTTTTGATTTACATCAATGACATACACAAAGAAATGGTCAAAAAATTATTTAAGTTTGCTGATAACATTAAAGTTTTGGGTACGGTTGGCTGTGAGGAAGATGCTGCAGCTTTACAAAAGGATTTGGATTATTTGATGAGTTAGGCAAATAAATAGCAGATGGCTTTTAATTATAATAAACTCAAAGTAATGCATGTGGGACATCATAATTTGAATTATGAGTATAAATTTGATGGGAATAACCTTAACAGTGTTATGAAAGAAAAATATCTTAGTGTTCTGGTTGATCAGACCAAGCAATGAGTTGTTGATAGTGGTAGGGCAAATACGAGTTTGGGTTGTATCTACAGAAGTAATGAATACAAGTCTAAAGAGGTTATAATGTCACTGGTTAGGCCAAATTCAGAGTGGTGTGTTCAGTTTTAGGCTTTTTACCTGAGAAAGGAGAATGAATTCTTGGAAAGGGTTCAGAGGAAAGCTACTAAGATGATAACTGGGATGGAAAGGTTTTCATTCAAGGATAGGTTAAGATCTCTGAACTTGTTTTCTCTTGAAAAAAGTAGAGTAAGAAGGAATCTGAATGACCTGTTTAAGATTGTTAAGGGAATTGATAGTGTTGAGGCATCATCCTTTTTCATATTTAATAATGAGAATTGTAAGACTAAGACACAAATATAAAGACTGACAGAGTAGGAGTCATCTTTAGCTAAAACAACTTTATTTTTCTAACAGTGTTTGGCCTTTGGAACAGATTGCCTTTAGAGGTGGTAGAAGCAGTGGGAAAGCTTAATATATATTTGAATGATAAGGGCTGGCTTTGAATTTTATAGTGCTTAATCTAATGGAAAGAACTCCCTAGATGGACCAAAAGGTCCCTTATTGTCCTTTAATGTTATATGTTATGGACCTAGTAAAAAAAACCAAAACATCAGTAATTAAAGTTTTTTGTTATTACCATATCTCTTATAAAACTTCGTTTTTCACCTTATGAATAATTTTAATCTTGATATGCACCGAAAAAGTATTTGGCCACTGCAAAAAATGAGGGAGAACAACAGCCACCTGAGTCACGTAAAAATGACCCACAAGTATTTTTAATCTGCATCATTTCTCCCACATTCCACACAACTGACTTGGTTCGCAGTCACTATTTGCTTCAGTAATAGTCACATCAAGACAGTGATTCATTCTCATAAACATCAGATACATCTGCAACCTTCCACAAGTGGAAGAATTCATCCACCTATGAGGTTTCTTTTTCCATGTTCATCAGTTCAGCATCATTTAGTCACTTAAGAGTTATTGCATCTATCTGTGTGCAAGTTGGTTAATAGAGAGTTCATTAGAGTACTTGTTATTGATCAATTAGCCAGGCAATTCTGCACGCAAGTTTATGAGTTAGATCTACAAGTAGGGAGTCCCACAGAATTATAGTTCCCAGCCACGAAAATGTGTGAATGCAAAATTACAGTTTCAAATACATGAATCCCATACAAACAAAATACGAAATGATTACAAATGAAGATGTTCACAGCACTATTTGAAAACACACAAACAAAACTTTAAACCTATTAATAAACAGTTTTTAGTCATTTAATTTGTTGAAACCAAGCCATACAATAAACTGTTTGGTCCATATTACATAAACCGATATATATATATATATATATATATATATATATATATATATATATATACTACTCACCGTCACCTAACCTAACTAATACTAACGTACATA